GCCATATAGGAACCCTGGTTTCGATTGGGAGGGCATTCCTTAACTAAGGTGGGCTCTTCGGGTACCCCTACATTCATTACAACCAAGAACATTTTCGGTAGTCGAGGAAGTACCCCACCCATCTGGTGTGGTACATCGCCAGCCACAGACAACAGAATCACACAAATCCGTGCTTCAAAACAGGGAAAACCGCTTGGGGATTAGCATGTAGTGCCCCTAGACCCTAACTTCCAAATCCCGGCTGAATCCTAAGACCTCAACCTGTGTCCCTGAAAACTTAATAACTAGACCCGGGAGTAACCTAGGAATAAAAAGGGTGCCCTTTTTGGTTTTAAGGGGGTTATAAGGGAACCCCAACCGTATCAAAAGGAAAAAAGGGCCTACTCCCGGTCCTAGATAAACAATCCTCACACCCTGGGACTCTGACGGTCTTCGTGCCGAAGAAGACCCCGTTCTTGCGGTCGCCTCGCCGGAAGAAGGGGGAGTGTCGGCGTCACCCCGTCTGAAACGGAACACCGACCCGGAAACACTAAAGCCTAACCCTCACATAGGGGCCTGTTCGCAGGGGTGTAGGGTTTAGGACGATACTGGGTCAAGATCGGTCTCCAAACCCTAAACTCTAAACCAAAAACCAAAAACCCTAAACCCTAAACCCTAAACCCTAAACCCTAAACCCTAAACCCTAAACCCTAAACCCTAAACCCCGAAGGGCTCTCAACGTCCACACTTCCAGGCTCGGCCCCTGGCAGTACTTGTTGTCATGGTAGGACTGGCACCTCTCAACCGCCGTGTGTCGGGTGGTTTTAAGTTATGGGTTTAGGGTTTAGGGTTTAGGGTTTAGGGTTTAGGGTTTAGGGTTTAGGGTTTAGGGTTTAGGGTTTAGGGTTTAGGGTTTAGGGTTTAGGGTTTAGGGTTTAGGGTTTTGAGTTTATGGGCCCGTTTAAGGACTCTGTTGAGAAACTTTTCCTTTGGTTTCAGGGCTTCAAGCAGGCATGTGGCTTAGATCAACCCCATAGCGCAGAACACCCAGCCGACAGACCTTCAGTGTGAGAGAAAAGGGTTTAGGGTGTGGGTTTAGGGTTTGGGTTTAGGGCTTAGGGTTTAGGGCTTAGGCTTCTGGATTTACGATTTAGGGTCCGTCCTTGCCTTGATCCCAGTAAACAATATGAAATAAGGATTCCCTTTTTGGGGGCTGGTTACTTTCCATAAGGGAACCTAGAAACCAAGATGAGTGCACAAGGGTACAATTGGGCTACCAAGTTTGTAATATAGGGGCCTGAGCAATTCGAAAAGGGTTTGGGGATTATTGTAGTATAATTATATAGGGACCATAAGGAAACTACCATTTATAACTATTCTGACCACCTAACATAATATAGCAGTAAGCCTTAAAGCCGAAGGTCTTTTGGTTCTCAGTCCCGACGCAGACTAGGATCGCTCCGTCGACGAAAGGGCACGCATCAATGACCCTAAACCCCTAAATCCCTGAACCCTAATTGAACCCCTAAACCCCTAAACCCCTAAACCCCTAAACCCCTAAACCCCTAAACCCCTAAACCCCTAAACCCCTAAACCCCTAAACCCCTAAACCCCTAAACCCCTAAACCCCTAAACCCCTAAACCCCTAAACCCATAAACCCCTAAACCCCTAAACCCCAACCTAACCCCTAAAATCCTACCCTACACTCCGAACCCCAAACCCCTAATTTAACCCCTGAACCCCTAATCTATCCCTAAACCCCTGAAACCCTAAACCCCTGAACCCCTGAAACCCCTAAACCAAAACCCGAAAAACCTAAACCCTAAACCCCCCCTACACCCCTATTCCCCTACACCCCTAAACCCCTAAACCCCTAAACCCCTAAACCCCTAAACCCCTAAACCCCTAAACCCCTAAACCCCTAAACCCCTAAACCCCTAAACCCCTGACCCTAAACCCTAAACCCTAAACCCTAAAACTTCCCGAAACTGTGCCGGCGTCACGAATCCCCCTGGGCATCCTTCCACTCCGCGACGGTGTCGAAGCAGGTCTGTTGGGCTGTCCGCAGCTTCGGGGAACTTGAAAGCCACAAACCCTAAATCCCTAAACCCCTAATCCTAAACCCTAAACCCTAAACCCTAAACCCTAAACCCTAAACCCTAAACCCCAGGAGCGCCCTTTTACAGGGTTCTTAAAAGGGACGGGGGGGGGGGGGTTCAAGGGGGGCATGGCCCCCCAAGCCCTAGGTTCCCTAGGGTTCCCTAGGTACCTACCCCCCATTTAGGGTTTAGGGTTTAGGGTTTAGGGTTTAGGGTTTAGGGTTTAGGGTAAACCCCCTCTCTTCAGGCCGTTGAAAATTATTCATGAATAGGTTCCCTTATAAGGACAGAGGGGAAATTACAAACTATCCCAAAGCACAACCCAGCTTAGGAAGAGCACAACAGCAAGAAGCTAAGGGTTTTGGGGGTCTCAAAGTCATAGTTGCAGAATGGCTTGTAGAAAAGCACTACTGCGGAAGCCCCTGCACCACCCTCGTCGCGCAGCTTGTGGAGTGAGATCCTGACCCGTATCCCTGCTAAACCCTAAACCCTAAACCCTAAACCCTAAGCCGCAAATCCTAAATCTAAATCCCAGACCCTATACTCGAAACGAATCCTGAGCCCAATCCCTACCACGAAACGCGAAACTGAAGTCCGAAACACTAAGCTTTAAAGCCCTACGCTCAAGCACCTCCAAACCGCCCAAACCCCCCAGAAGAAATTCAGGAAATTCAACAGTATCCCTAAACCCTAAACCCTAAACCCTAAACCCTAAACCCTAAAACTCTAAACCCTAAACCCTAAACCCTAAACCCTAAACCCTAAAACTCTAAACCCTAAACCCTCAACGCTCAATCCTGAACCAAATCCTGAACCAAGCCTCCCCAGGCCGAAGAGCGCCCTCGGCAAGCTTCGTGGGCTTCGGGGCCTCTCGCGGATCGGTCGGATTGCTTGTGTTTTTTTTGGGGGGGGGTGGGGTTAGGGTTGAGGGTTGAGGGTTGAGGGTTGAGGGTTTAGGGTTTAGGGTTTAGGGTTTAGGGTTTAGGGTAAAGGGCTGAGGGGCTGAGGGTTTCGGGGCTTAGGAGGTCTAGGGTTTAGGGGTTGAGGGTTTTTGGAGATCTCGAGTTAGGGGTTTAGGGAGGCTTGGGCTTTACGTGCTTATTCAGAGTTTTGGGGCTTTGGGTTGAGGGGTTGAGGGTTTGGGGGTTTCAGGTGTTCGGGTGCACTGGGACCGCGGCGAGACCGATCTTCGAGGCGCTGGCCTGGATTCAAATGCCGTACTCTACATTCGGAGTTTGCAGTATCGGGCTTAGAGTATAGGGTTTCGGGCTCAGGGTTTAGGGTTTCAACATCTCGTCTGCACGATACCGCAGCACTTTGGTTGGTTCTGCACCCTGCACCCTGTGTCCCTGACTACCAAACCCTAAACCCTGAGTCCCTAAGCCACCAAGGCCTCCTGGCACCTTCCTTGAAGAGGGGACTGCTCAAAACTGGGGTCTCCCCTAAGTTTCGGGCTTTCGGCCTCCTCCTGTTACCCTAAACCAGCCCTAAACCCTAAACCCGAAAACCTTAAACCCTAAACCCTAAACCCTAAACCCTAAACCCTAAACCCTAAACCCTAAACAAACCCTAATCCTACACCCAAAATACAAGAAAGGTTCCGCTGTCTCCTTTCGCCCCCTGCGACCGTAGGTCCCGAAAACCCTGAGCCCTCGGCCCCTTATTTTCTTTGGTACCTAATCTTGGTAGCCCAGTAACCATTTTATAACAACGGCACCTTTTTATGGGAACTGGTTACTTTATAAGGGAACCCAGAAACAAAAAAAGAAAGGGAAAGGGGTACCGCTGGGCTGCCAAGTCGTATCAAACTCATCCCTTCGAGATCATGCAAAATCCTGAAGGGCCGGTGAGAGAGGGACAGAATCAGCTTCGACTGTTCAGAGGGGTGGGGTCACACTAAAGAGGGTGGAACATTAGGGCTTTGGGTTTTGGGTCAAGGGTTCAGGCGTGGGTTAGGGTTTCGGGCTTACGTGAGGGATGTGTAGGGCGCAGGGCTTAGGTGGGCTCAGCCTCCTGCAAGTCCCCCCCAGAACGGTGCTCCAACTCAGAAACCGCCCCTGAAGTAAACCCCGGCGTGCTCTCTTCCCTGGGAGCCTTCTTGTCGCGCAGCTGCTCGCCTGGAGTAGGAGCGGCTGAAGCTTTAGGCTCGAGGGCTTTGGGGCGTTAGGATCCTTGACGAGGCTTCTACAAGCCCTCAACTCAAAACTCCCCCAAGCAGAGTGGGCTTATCTTGTTAAACCCTAAACCCTAAACCCTACACCCTAAACCCTAAACCCTTGTGGTGTTCAGCCCGTCCGACCTGCGCCTTTCGAGGCGCTCCTCAGGAGGGCGCCACCGGTCAGCTGCCAGGCAGCCTGGCTCTAGGGTTTAGGGTTTAGGGTTTAGGGTTTAGGGTTTAGGGTTTAGGGTTTAGGGTTTAGGGTTTAGGGTTTAGGGTTTAGGGTTTAGGGTTTAGGGTTTAGGGTTTAGGGTTTAGGGTTTAGGGTTTTCGGGGCTTAGGAGATTGGGGTTCATGATGAGAACCTATTTGGGATGTTCCTCCTTCTACTAACAGTCTTGAATAAGGATTATGATAGGGGGGTACTATATTCCCTACTAAGGACTGTTAATATAAGGGGGAACATCCCAAGAACCTACATAGAGTAAGTGGACTCCCTAATGCTTTTGGGCTTTCTGCGCCCCTCATCCCGAGCGCGCCCTTTCTCTTTGGCGCGGAGAATATGCCCAGAGACTCCAATACCCCTTTGCACCCCTTAAATTGTACCAGGACCCCAGCATGATCTGGATGGCTTAGCATTCCCTTGTAAAAAGGATCCCGATAAGGTACTCTAATTTCGTAAACCACCATCTAAGGGAGATGTTCAACAAACACGGGGTATGGGCGTCTCTGGGTGAGGCGTGCAGGGCTCACTGCGCAGCCGCTAGCAGATGGCGTAGGAAAGCCTTCTTGTCACTTTGTCCTGCGAGGGAAGCAAAGGGTCTTTCGGGTCGCGAGCCCTAAGCCCTACCTGCATGCCCACGAGTCGCAATTGCCTCTTCAAAACAAGGTATCGGTAGAATCCATACTACAGTCATTAAGTCAGCACAATTTCAGGCAAGCTCTAGCCCGATCTCGCTACACATGTTCAACAGATAGCAGCAAAAAAACTTTGCAGAACCACAATCCTGAAGCCCTCAACCCAATATCCTCGAAACAATTACTAAAGCCCAGGGGCTTCAAACCTTCAAACCCCCATAGCCGTAAACCCCAATAAACCCATAACAAGCCAACACACCTAAACTAACTCTCGACTCAGGGTCCCCAAAAAAAAACCCACAAAACAAGATCAACCCTAAACCCTAAGCCCTAGGCCCTAAAACCAAAACCCTAAACCCTACGCACCCCCCCCCTCCCAAAAAAAAGGAAAAAAATATAAAGAAAGAACTCACATGCCGGTAGACCCCACGGGCTCATATGTCAGAAGCCTCAAAGAAATAACCTGACTCGGAGGTTCATGGGTAGTTAGAAGCAGGGTTTAGGGTTTAGGGTTTAGGTTTTAGGGTTTAGGGTTTAGGGGGATTTCCCAAACTTGGGGTACGCCTTTTATACCCTAAATAGACGAGGATCCCCTTAAAGGAACCCCCAAAAGGGTATCCCTATTTTCGGACACGCCCAATCCCTACTACCCCACCGAAATATACTACCCCCCCTAGGTTCCCCTCTAAAAGAACCTCGGTTAGGCTTAATTATCCTTAAATAACCTTCAATTCTAGGGCGAACCTATGGGGTAAAACCCTCAACACTAAAAACCAAACCCTGAACCCGAAACCTCCCCCTTTTTTTCGGAAACAAGACCCGTCTCCTGGTTGATCGTGCTGTGGTGCGCCGTATGACTTGTCGGCTTGCTGTATTTTCTCAGGTCCAGGGCCTGGCAGGTTTAGGGTTTAGGGTTTAGGCTTTAGGGTTTAGGGTTTGGGGTTTGGGGTTTAGGGTTTAGGGTTTAGGGTTTAGGGTTGAGGGTTGAGGGTTTCGGGCCTGGCCGCCAAAGGCCAGAGAATGGGGAACTTTAGGGGTTTTTTTGGTGGTTGCTAAGGGAGCTTCGATTTGGTTCTTAGGTGTGCTAAGGGACTTTAGAGGCTTGAAGGGTGTGAAGGGTTTGTCCTAAGGACCTCGGCGCTTGGACCCTTGGGCTTGAAATCTAGGGCTTATGGGTTTAGGGTGTTGGATGTAGGGTTTAGGGTTTAGGGTTTAGGGTTTAGGGTTTAGGGTTTAGGGTTTAGGGTTTGTGCGATTTGGGCTTAGGACGGTTTCGGGTTTGCGGCTTTTGGGAGCCAGGGTGTACGGGTTTGCGGGTTTAGGATTTCAGGTTTCAGCCGTGGCCATAACAATGAGAAGTTCTTCAAGAGAAGCCTTTAGGGGTGTGACCTTAGTGGCGCGAGTTTGAAACTCGCGCGTTTTCAGGCCTAGGGCTTTCAGTTGCAGGGGTGCAGGCGCCGAGGTCCACGGCAACCCTACGCTCGAGAAATGGCGGCTTAGGGTGTGCAGTGTTGAGAAATCTGGGCTTCGTGCGTTTGGGTCGAGCGTTTCTTGTGGGGTTTGAGGCTTCGGGGAGTGTAGGAACATATTAGGGGGCGGCTGCTCCTTGAAGTAGTCAATCGTCTTCTGCAGTCCTTCTCGCAGCTGCACCTGCGAGCATTGGGCCAGGATGCCTAAGCCCCAAACCCTAGACCCAAAAACCCTAAGCCCTAAACCCTAAACCCTATACCCTATACCCTAAACCCTAAACCCAGAAGTCATCCACGCAGATAGATTCTGCGAGATGCAGGCGTCCGGGCTCAGGTTGCAGGGCTCGAAAGGTTAGGGCTTAGACTCTCCCAGCATACCCCGGGCCTAAAAGCCCGAATTCCTCCAAGCAGCCTAGGACATAAACCCTTTGGTTGTTCACGGGGTGGATAATTACAAAACGGAAAATCTCTGAAAAAAGAAGAGGGATCCCCGTCAACCCCCGAACACACTGAAACCCCCCTCTCTGAACCCTCCCTCGGGTTCCCAGTATTCTTGAGGAATATACCGAAGATGCATGCTAAAGCACGGCTATGGGGGCCTGTAAACTGTAAAACTCATATAAGCTCAACTAACTACCCTGAACTCTGAAGCCCAAAGCCTCAAGCGTAAACCCTAAACCCTTTATAGAAGCCCTGGTGGCCCAACCTGCAATGCTAAAAGCTGCTGTTTCTCCCACCACCGTACCTCATCTCCCACAAACAGACACAACAAACAGAACGGCCGAACCCTGAACCTAATTAACCCTGCAAGCCTCGGCTTCAATTATACAAACCCTACGACACAACTTCACCCTTAAACCCTTTAACCCTTGAAGCCTTAAACCCTCAAACCCTTAAACCTTAAAACCCTTAAAACCCTTATACCCCTAAAACCCTTTAACCCCTTAATCCTGAAACCCTGAAACCCTGAAACCCTTAAACCCTTCAACCCCCAAACCCTAAACCCCCTTAACCCACAAACCCTTAAACCCTTCAACCCTGAAGCTTAAGCCCTTCAACCCTTCAATTGAAACCCTAAAACCTGAAACCCTTCAACCGCTAAACCCTAAACCCTAACCCCAAACCCCCGTCCAAGCCCCCCACCATAGTCTATGAGCTCTTATTTGGGTTATCCTGAAAACCCCCTGACTATCACCTTAGGCTAGGTTTGAGACTTCTACTACTGCACCCCAACCCTAAAACAAAAACCCTGTAGCCCTAAACCCTAAGCCCTGTAGCCCTAAACCCTAAACCCTAAACCCTAAACCCTAAACCCTAAACCCTAAACCCTAAACCCTAAACCCTAAACCCTGAACCCTAAACCCTAAACCCTAAACCCTAAGCGCGCCTTGGGCTCCCAGTCCAACAGCTCCTTTGCGCGTTGGATGTTGGGCCGGCGCTGCTTCGGGTCGTCGCCCGGAAGGGGCAGGTAGACGATCTTGCCTCGAAGAGGCGTTTAGGGTGTAGGGCTTAGGGTTTGGGGTTTGGGTTTAGGGTTTAGGGTTGAGGGTTTAGGGTTTAGGGTTTAGGGTTTAGGGATTAGGGATTGGGGTTTAGGGTTTAGGGTTTCGGGTTTAGGGTTTAGGGTTTAGGGTTCACGTGGGCTTAGGGGGCTTAGATCTTACAGGACTTAGGGTTTGCCATGGTACCCTAAACCCTAATTAAGCCTAAACCCCAAACTCCCTGAACCCCTAAACCCCTAAGCCCCTGAACTCCTGAACCCTAAACAACCTAAACCCTAAACCCCTGAACCCCACACCCTAAACCCTAAAAACCTGAAGACCCCAAAGCCGCTGGGGGGGGGTATAAGTCGGGCCCAAAGAGCTTTGAGAGCCGGTGAGCTCGATGACCATCTCGGCCAGCTCCTCGCCGGCAGCCCAGGGTGGGACAGAGAGTTTAGGGTTTAGTAAAGGGTTTCGGGTTTAGGTGTTTAGGTATTTAGGGTTTAGGGTTTAGAGTTTAGGGTTTAGGGTTTGGGGTTTAGGGTTGGGGCTTTTGTGGGGGTTACGGGATGTTTCCCACAAACCCAAACCGTACCCCCCAAGACGAGACTTGAGTGCAGCTGGAGGCTTGGGGATAATCCGCGCTCCCCACCTTAAACCCTAAACCCTAACCCTAACACGCAGGCAGCGTGGCCCTGTCCTTCACGGTGAACTCGTTTGGATTCCCGATGTTTATGGGGCCAATCGTCTTCTCCTCCGGCACACACCCTCCGTCTGCGAACTAAAGCGTGCAGCCGCCTAGGGTGTAGGGTTTAGGCTGTTGATTTACCCCAAATCCCTAAACCCTAAACCCTAAACCTAGATCCTAAACCCTAGACCCTAAACCCTAAACCCGAAACCCCATGAAGCGAAACAATCTGATGCAAGCTCCGGGGACCTGGTTCATGAGGCGGATCAGGCCATCAACTGTGTCATCCACGAAGCCGAACGACCGCGTTTGCGAGCCGTCGCCGTAGATCGTGATGTCCTCACAACTGGCTGGTTCTTAGTAGGGAATGGCCCTAGGGTCTCAGGGTCTGCAAAGAGACCATGCTCCTTAATCAAGGAACACGCCGTAGTTCCTCATGCGTAATAGAAGCAGCATGGGTCACCAACGTTACCACCGAACAAAACAGAACAGGCACTCAATGCCACTTAAGCCGCAACCCCGAACCCTAAGCCCTAACCCTGAACCCTAAACCCTGAACCCTAAACCCTACACCCTAAACCCTAAACCCTAAACCCTACCAGCCCTGATCAGGGACCCTCATGTTCAGAGCGCTTGCGCTTCGTGGTCAAGATGTCCAGGGCTTAGGGTTTAGGGTTTAGGGCTTAGGGCGTATGGTATAGGGTTTAGGGTTTCGGGCCTGTTTGCAGAAAAAAAGGGCTTTTGGGGTTTTAAAGACCCAAAAGGCAACCGACATCACTTGGCAACGCCAGCTCATGGTTTTAATTCGAGACCCTTTCTCTACGACTCACGCCCTTGGGGCTTCAGTTAATTGGTGTTTAAGGTTTAGGGTTTGCACATCACACAGGACAAAATCCCGCAGCAGTGCAGCAGATGGGAGTTTCCGTCAATCAGGGGCCCCTAATATAAACCAAGAATAGGATCCCCTTATTCAAGCTTGCTTGGAAGTTCATGAGTGGTTAGAAGTGGGGATACAAGCATGGTAACTCTACTCATAACCTGTAGTTTGTAGTTATAACCCTTTTTAGAATTGCCCCTGAACCTCTAAGCCCCTAAGCCCTAAACCCTAAACCCTAGACCCGCAACCCTAAACGCTAAACCCTCATGGACCCCCCCCCCCCCCCCCCCCGCAATATCGGAAACCCATGTTGGCTTCCAGGTCTGGCCTCGTTATGGAGGGCCTGGAGGATGAAATTGCTCACCACTCCTTTGTCAGTGTTGGGTTGGAGCCCTAAAACCTAAACCCTAAACCCCCCTAAACCCTCCTCCCTCCTAAACCCTCCTCCTCCCTCCTAAACCCTCCTTCCTCCCAAAGCCTAAGCCCCAAACCCTAAACTCCAGGGGTTTGGGGTTTCAGGGCGTCGGACCTTGATAGTGCTATTCGGGGTGAGAGCAGCGGCGTTGGAGGGTGTGACGACTGCCCAGGAACTGGCACAAGCTGGATGACAAACTGAAGAAACTGAAGAGGTCAAGGCTCGCCCGTCATAGGGATGCATACCTCAGTCGCCAGGGGTTTAGATTGAGGGCTTTGGGTTTGGGGTTTTGGGTTTCAAAAACCGGAAACCCTAAACCCTAAACCCGAAACCCTAAACCCTAAACCCCTGGAATCTGCGTGTTTCAGCTTCTGCTTTAGCACTCCACCAAGGCAAGCCTTCTGCCTGTTGATGCGGCCCACATTTTTGCTGCATCGCTGTCTCTTCAAGATGTGCATCCTAAATAAGCCCCCCCCCCCCCCCCCCCCCCCCCCAAAAAAAAAAAAACTAAACCCTAAACACACTAATTAAATTCGAGTTCTACCGGAAAATCCGTAAACCCCCGTATCTAATCACCCTGAAGCGAGTTACTCATCGACTCAGGCAAAGGAAAGCGTGCTTCCAAATGTCCCAAAGCGGAGCTGAGGGTTTAGGGCCCTGAGGCCCTAAACCCTAAACCCTAAACCCTAAAAACTCTAAACCCGAAACCCTAGTAAGCTTGCCCCGAAATCCCAAGCACCTGAATTAAAGAATCGGGTTTAGGGCTTATGACACCATGAGGATACGTAGAAGGGTTATGGAGCAACTTGGTGGTGGCCTGCTGTTCGCCAAGCTTCCAGGCCCGTAGGTGTTGAAGATTCTTGCCACGCGAATGTCCTCGGCGGCTTGGGATTGCGGGTTAGGATTCTGTTGCTGCCATGCAGGGAGCGTTAGGGTTTTAGGGTTTAGGGTTTAGTGTTTAGGGTTTGGCAAGTTTTTGGATGACATGACAGCCTTGCTCAGGGGCATTGGACCCTCATGTCAACGCGTTCCCTTATCGGCTGTTCTCGGCAATGCGTCGACATTGTTCATGCGCAAGTAGTCGAAGGCCAACGTTTCGGTCACCCGCTTGCCCTCGTCATAGCAGGACCTCACGGGGGTACCCTAAAACTAAAGCCTAGTTCATCCCCAACACTCCACCCCAAACTTTCTTCCCCAACAACCAGCGACTAAAAGGATTTTGTGTAGGTGTGCTTGGCAGATCACGGGCTGGTAAGTTCACAGGAGAGTGATGACATGCCTAAACCAAGGCCACCCGAATACTCAAAACGAGCCAAAGCCAGCCCGCACCAAAGTCACGCCTGGGGCACCTGGTCACTTGGGACATTTGGAACACCCGGAGATACTTGAGGGCCTTGGGACGCTCTCGTTCGGGCTTGTAATTAAAATGCCTCCTCAGTGCTCGACCATAAAGATGCCCCGTTGCTGTTAGATGCACTAAGACCTAAACCCTAAACCCTACACGCTCGACGGCGCCCGCCTACCCCAACAGAGGTGACAGGAGTGGCAGGCGTGCTTCGGGCTTAGCCCAGCGTCTAATCATTCCTACAAGATAAAACCCAATCATGTAACTAGGATGGCCCTTACAACCCTCTGAAGAATAGTCCTAAATATGATCCTCTAAACCCACTAAGAGAGAGAGAGATATATATATATATAATGTTCCAAGGACCTATCTAGGTTAAGATTGGCCAGCAGGTCTAGCAAAACCTTGCAGATGAAGGGCCGGACACCGATGGTGTTCACGTGGCCCCAGTAATCTTCAGACTGAGGCGTGACCTTGCGGCTGTGTTGCAGCCCTAAACCCTAAACCCTAAATCCTAGACCCTAGACCCTAAACCCTAAACCCTAAAACTAAAGGGGTTTCGGGTGTCAAAGCGACCGAAGCCTTCTGAGCGCTTATCTAAGGGTAGTTCTAACGGGCCCTTAAAATGGTCCCTTACCTCCTGTAAAGGAATTCTGAAGTATGGGCCCCTAGGTTGTCCTTAAGCCTAAAACTCCTAAGTGCCACAGCGAATTTGCCGTTCTCAAGAAGGCCGTGACTGAATTCACAGCTCCGAATGGCAGGGCGTGTAGTTGGTATACAACGACCCGCCCCAAATGCGGATTGGGCTGGAAGAAGACACCCTTTTGGTTTAAAATTTTCAGTTTTCTGCCCAAGTGGTGTTGAGACACGCTTTTGGTTCAAAACTTTTGGTTCTGGGCTGAAGTGGTGTTGGAGACACCCTTTTGGTTCAAAAAATCGGTTTTCTGCCGAAGCGGTGTTGAGACACGCTTTTGGTTCAGAATTTTCTGGTCTTGGGCCGAAGTGATGTTGAGACACCCTTTTGGTTGTTGCTTTTGGGCCGAAGTGGTGTTGAGACTTTGGTGCAGAATTTTTGGTCTTGGGCCGAAGTGGCCTGTTGGGGCTCGCCAACAATCATCAAATTTTCGACGCATGCCAACACATACAGCTCGCAGGAAGAGTGGCAAGGCAAGTTGCTATTCGACTTGCACCTTCGAAATCCCAATTTGTGCAACATTACCCTTAAACACCCTAAAAACCAAAACTCAAAAGAACACGTTCAAAAAAATCTTGCTAAACAAAAGAACAGAACCTTAAAAACACCCCCCTCTAAACAACCAAAAACAAATTAACGCTTAACAAAAACCCTCTGTGAAAGCCCCTCATCCTCTAAACCCTAAACCCTATAAGCCCTAAGCCCTAAGCCCTAAGCCCTAAGCCCTAAGCCCTAAGCCCTAAGCCCTAAACCCTAAACCCTAAACCCTAAACCCTGTTCAAGCGGCCTCGGGGTCTCCGTAGATCTCGCTGGTTGAGGCCTGGAGGATCCGAGCCTTGACCTTAAAAAAAGGGGCGGCGTGCTTTTTTAATGGCTTTTGCCTTGGGATTTAGGGTTTAGGGTTTAGGGTTTAGGGTTTAGGGTTTAGGGTTTAGGGTGTAGGGTTTGGGGTTTCGGGTTTAGGGTATAGGGTATGTTCCCCCTTATTCTAGCAGCTCCTTATGCGGGAGCATAGTACGCTTCATTAAGCTATCATCCCTATTGAGGACTGTGAGTATAAGGGGGAACATCCCAATTTTTGCCGATTGCCCTCGTGTTTGCTTTCTTTTTTAACGCCTCGTTGCTTTGCCTTGACCGTATGTGAGGTCTTGCCTAAGCCCAAGCCCCAAACCTCAGGAAATCAACCCCAGTGCTAGGCTTTGGCCACCTAAATCCCTGCACCCGAAACCCTAGTTTTCGGGCTTAGGGTTTAGGGTTTAGGGTTTAGGGTTTAGGGGTTGGGGAGAACCCCAAAGCGACTAATAGGTTGGTTACATGGTCCCTGCATATGGTCCCTTGCCTGTCTCAGCTGCGCAGGGTTTTCATACAAGGGGTACGTCAAGAGTATTCTTGAGGGGTGTAGAAGTGGTATACGGGGCTTCCCCAACTAAGGGCCCATGCTGGGAAACCTTCAAGAAATACCCTAGGATGAGCTCCAACCCCCTGCTGCCGCGCAGCACGCTTGGCAAGGCCCATCATGTGGATGGTCCCCAAGACCGAGACCTACTTATACGGTAAGGGCTTCAGGATTTCACTTAGGAGTTTAGGGTTTAGGGTTTAGGGCCTAGGGTTTAGTGTAGCTTGTTGATTATAGCAAGTCACGGGCATCTTCAGTAGAAGCCCAATGTCGATGGAGCACATGCTAAGGTCAGAGTTTCTGGATTTACGACTTCATGCTACAAAATTATTACCTTCTCCGATTGACCCTGACTATCAAACAACCTTTGAAGCTAGATTTCAGGGTGTGTGGTATAGGGTTTGCGTGTCCTCGTCCCCCGCCTTTGTCGTCTTGATGGGATTCCACTGGTAGTGCACCGGGGATGCTGGGCAAGCCATGTTGTAGATCATATCCTGGGATTCAATTCGCGACGCTTGGGGATTTTCGTTTTGGGGACTGGGTGTCGTGTTGGTGGTGTCGGCTACCTCTTGAAGCAGCGTGCAGCTTGTACAAAGTTCAGGGGTGATGCCTTGCTCTCGTCCTAAAATATTTGTTCAGACAGACAGAGCAAGGGCGGTGCAGACAATGATCGGCTCGCTTAAATTACCTGAAGCCTCCAATGCAATTCCTTCTGGGGGTTGTTGTGTTTCCATTGAGGATTCTAGTACGCTACCCATGAAAGGAACTACAAAAGAGTCCTCAGGTAGATATTCAGGTGATGCTTAGAGGTTCATGGGTTGTTATCAGTCGGGTTATAATGTGTTACAAGTATAGTCAGAATAGGTACCATACTTATAGCTCTCCTTCTACCTACCCATGAACCTCCAAGTAACGCCCCTAAGGAACCCTAAACCCAAGTACAGGTTCAGCTATCAGGGTTTGATCTGCGGGCTTGCCCTCGTGGTTTGGCGTTTCGGGTGTAGGGTTTAGGGCTTAGCTCGTGGCTTACTTGGGGTTCCTGGGTTGTTTGCAGTCGGGCGATAAGTATGGTAATCATAGTTTTTTGATTTAGGGTTCCTCGAACACGGCGTATAATTGGGAACCTCCTAGAAGGGCTCGAACATGAGCTACCTTGTTACTTCTTCGAGTCATACTACGCCACACACTGGGAAGCAAAGATCGAAACGCGACCGACGCCCTGACACGATATCCCAAAACCTTAAGCCCAAAAACGTGGACTGAAGACCTCTAGACATTAAACCCGAAAGCCCTACACCCTTCGATCACCTGTGCCGCAAAGCCTCGCATTCGGCAAAAAAGGGCTCTGTCACGTCATGGCGGATGAACCTTGCGCATCAAGTCGCAGGACAGCGTGCTGCCGTTGAGGGTTTATAAGGGTTAGGGTAGAGTACGGGGTCCGCACAGAAAATCGAAGGGCTTCCGAAGTTTAATGAGGGAAGCCCCTAGACCCTTAAGGAAGCCGGTTCAAACCTTACCATTCACGCGAGAGCATAAACGACAAACCCACGTCGAAAACCCAAGCTCGAAACCGTAAACCCTAAACAGGCATCTAAGGTTTACAGTTTGGGTTTAGGGTTTAGTGTACCAAGAAAGCCCAAACCCTAAAGCCCAAACTCTCAACCCCAAAACCCTAAACCCTAACCCGAAACCCAAAACCCCACCCAAACCATTAAACTTCTAAATCCCAAGCCCTAAACCCCAAACCCTAAACCCCAAACCCAAACCTACCAACCCTAAACCCGAAACCCCAATACCCCAATACCCCAAAGCCCAAAATGGAAAGCTGCCACCGGAGCAATCATGGGTTCCCCTACTACTCCCCCCCTGGTTCCCCCCACAATTAAGGTTATGTAGGGACAATTAAGCCTAATTCAGGCTATTTAGGGGGGCTAGCCCTAAACCCTAAACCCTAAACCCTAAACCCTAAACCCTAAACCCTAAACCCTAAACCCTAGACCCTAAACCCTAAACCCTAAACCCTAAACCCTAAACCCTAAACCCTAAACCCTAAACCCTAAACCCTAAACCCAGAGCGGGGTAGCAGGGGTACCCCTCTGAAGCAAAGGAGCTCAAAGCGCGGATGACCCATCAGATCGGCAATGCCTCCAAGATCGTTCTTGGGGGTAGCTGCATGGTCCCTGGGGTTAGGGTTTAGGGTTTGGGGTTTGGGGTTTGGAGTTCGGGGTTCGGGGTTCGGGGTTCAGGGTTTAGGGTTTAGGGTAGTTACATGGTCCCTGAAATAAAGGGCCCTTTGGTTTTGTGGTTTGAGGCTTAGGGTTTATCATGCTGGGGTTGAGGGCCTAGGGTTTTGGAGCTTCCAGGCATTTTGGGGGTTTAGACTTTTGAGGTTTTGGGGGGGTGGGTTTGGGGTTTGGGGTTTGCGGTTCAGGTTGAGGTTTTAGGGTTTAAGGCTTTGGGGGGGGGGGGGGGGGGGGGGGGTGGGGGTTTAGGGTTTGGGGACAGTGGTTCAGGGTGTTTAGGGCTTCAGGGTTTATTTTAGGAGGGTTTGGGGTGTTAAACATTTTGGATGCTTTTTTGGGTTCAGGCGTTTGGGGGCTTTAGCCGTTTGAGAGTTTAGGCTTTGGCCTTGTTGGGGTGATAAGCTTTGACGGCTGCAAGCCCACCTGAGCGAGTGGAGGTGAAATAGTTGTCCAGGCACATGACCTCGTGCCCCTCTGCCAGCCTAGGCTGCTGATTGAATCCCTCGAAACAATGTACATTTATATATATATATATATATATGTAGAGAGACTGAAAGATTACATAATATATATATATATGTATATACATACCTATATATGTATATATGTAAGATACTTAGTCTATGGAAAAACACGAACTGTCAAAGAAGCCTAAACCCCAAACCTTCCAAAGCCGGTCTGGCAGCAGGCGCCGGCAGATGTGGGACCCTGGCGCGGGCGCTGCAATCCGAAGATCCGGTTAGGGTTTAGGGTTTGGGGTTTAGGGATTAGGGTTTGGGGTTTCGGGCTTGACAGCCCTAAGATTGTTGCTTAGGGTCCAGGGTTTAGTTGAGGGTCTAAGCCCAAGATCCGCGAACGCAGAGCAATGCTTGGAATAGTAACTCCTGTAGCCTAAACCCTTAACCCCTGAACTAAAGCCGATGAATCAACGGTTTCTAAGACCAAAGCTGAGAAAATTTGGGGTACGCAGCTATCCCCACCTTCAACTTATGGCTTCGTGAAACTCTGCCTCAAGCCGTACAGTAACAATATACTTGGCATCTCTGAACAGGTTATATCTAATCCCCCTCAAAAAGACCACAATCGTGTTTAAAAACATTTCGGGAACTGACCACACAGTGAAGCAAGGCAATTGTTGGGATGAGGGTGCACTGGGAGGTTCCTGGGCAGTTGTAAGCCTAGGGTTTAGGGCTACTTGGAGGTTCATGGGTAGTTATAAGCAGGGTTCGAAGTGCCCGAGGTAGGGTTAGAAGTACAGCTGCCATGCGGTTTAGGGTTTAGGGTGCCGCGCCTAGAAAGCCCGCACCGCCGGTGACGAGGACTCGCTTGAACTGCGCTGACTCTTGCTCCTGCTCGCTTCCAAATGGTTTGTGGTTTCGGCTTTCGGGACCAGATGAACTCTTGGGGCAGTTTCCCCTTCCATGCCACTTACATACCCTATAAAAAAAAAAACCCTTACTTCGGAGCCGTTTAAAGAGGTAAGGGACCATACTAAGGGACCCATGTAATTCCCCTGAGCTGAATCATAGCAACCCCCCGAACCACCTAACACCGACAAGACAATCCACTAAACGAAACGACGCCCACTGGAGTCTCCCATTTTTGCATCGGCTGGCATCTCCGGACCTCCTACTAAGGCAGGCAACCAAAGAGCCCAAAGGGAAGCATCTCATTTTTTTGCTACATGATGGAATGCACCCTAAAGTCGCCAAAACCCGAATCTCGAGAACCCGAGAACCCTAAACCCCTAAACCCCTAAACCCCTAAACCCCTAAACCCCTAAACCCCTAAACCCCTAAACCCCTAAACCCCTAAACCCCTAAACCCCTAAACCCCTAAACCCCTAAACCCCTAAGCCCCTACCTAAGCCCCTGAACCCTAGACACCACCTTCAAGCAGCAAGTACCACTGGAGAGCCCCCAAACCCTACACCCTAAACCCTGAACCCTAAACCCTAAACCCTAAAGCCTAGACACCCTCGCCTGGCAACTCTGGAACGACCGCCGCCCATCCTCCAGCATGGGAGGCTCGAAGCCACAAAGAGTTGGGTGAATTTCTTTTGGGTCCGGGGTTTAGGGTTTAGGGTTCAGGGTTTAGGGTTTAGGGGTTTTAAGGTCTCGGTTTGTCGATGCTTGGTGGAATCTCTTTAGAACGGACCCTTAGTCCTACTACCTTCCATTGTGTCTCGTATTTGTGTCAGGATGGGCTAAGGGCTTATAGGGTCTAGGGCCCACGCGGTGGGGTTTGTAGGCTTTGAGACTCTCAACCCTAAACCCTAAACCCTAAACCCTAAACCCGAAACCCTAAACCCTGAGCTCATGCCTTAAGGCTTACAGGGTGAGTCTTGTTGGGGAACATGGGCTGGTAGGGCTGAGATGTGGCATCGGTCTTGTGTGTGCGCGTGCGGGGTGGTGGGTGGGTGGGTGGGTGGGTGGGGCGGCAGGCTCGGTAAGGGCAATTGACCTGAGACTGAGCTTAAACTCTAACAGGAATAGGTTAGGGTGGCTTTGCCGCCTTGGACGGCGCGGGGTGGGAGGTGTTAGATGGCTGCTCTTCGCACCTAACAAATCTTTCGAGCCTCCAAACCTTCGCGGCATCTGCGCCATATTACAGCAAGCCCTAAGACCTAAACCCTAAACCCCAAACCCTAAAAACCCTAAGCCCTAAACCCTAAACTCTAAACCCTAAACCCTAAACCCTAAACCCTAAACCCTAAACCCTAAACCCTAAACCCCCCTCCTTCTTGCGCACGGCGAGCGCAAGGGGCACGGCCGCCAAGGGAAGTGCCGGCTTGCAGCGCAGGAGCCGCCACATCTTTGCCTTCTCCAGGCTTCGGGGTTTAGGGTTTAGGGTTTAGGGTTTAGGGTTTAGGGTTTAGGGTTTAGGGTTTAGGGTTTAGGGGTTAGGGGTTCGGGTTTGGGGGGTTTTGGGATCCAGGGCTTAGGGGTTTTAAGTTCAGGGTTTAGGCGGGTTTAGGGTTTAGGCTGAGGCCCTCCTAAGAAAAGATATAAACCAAATGAGGGCAACAATGCATCTTTCCTCGATCCTTGCGAACCCGCAAGCCCTGGGCGCTGCCCTCTTCTCGGCTTGCTTAATATAGGGGTCGGAGTATTTACTAATAGTCTTCCCATTTGGTCCCTATATAATTATACTACAAAAACACCCAAAAGCCCATTCTAGTTACTATACTCCCCTTAGAACCTTAATAAAAACACTATGTTCAATATCCTCTTGGGTTTTATACAAACAAAAGAAAACAATTCCCAAGGGTCCTCTATATTAGGTCGGCGGGAGGCTGGCGCGCCGCGGCCGTCCCTATCGAGGGCTTGAGAGGCCACACGGCTGCAGCGTCGAGGGTGCAGGGTGTATGAAGCTGAGGGAGCTGAGGGAGCTGAGGGAGTTCAGGGAGTTTGGGGAGGTTGGGGAGTTTGGGGAAGTTCGGAGTTTGGGGAGTTTGGAGGAGTTTGGGGAGTTTAGGGAGTTAGGGAGTTTAGGGAGTTTGGGGAGTTTGGGGAGTTTGGGGAGTTTATGGAGGGTGTAGGGTTTAGGCTCACAGCTAACGTTGTGGAGAGCCCTTTCTGCACTTGCTGCCCTGGGCTCAGGGTGGAGGCTCCGGGCTCCGGGCTCAGGGCTAAACGTTTCGCGCTGGACTTCGCAGCACGGTCCCACTCCTAACCCCTAAACACCTAAACCCCAAACACCCCCAAAACCCCTAAACCCCAAAACCCCTAAACCCGAACCCCGAACCCCGAACCCCGGAGCCCTAAGCCAGAGAAGTTGGTATGGAAGGCGCATTCTATGGAAAGTCTTGAGGCCTAAAGGCATGGATGGTATGAAGGACGTTTTTTCATTGCCAGTATCCCCAAAAGGGCACTCCGCAGGTACATTCACCAATACACTCAAGAACCGAAATCCACACCCCGCTTCATAGAGGAACCCACTACCCTATTCAAGATCCCTAAACCCTAAACCGCAAACTTTTCACCCTAGACCCTAAACCTTACACCATAAACCCTAAGCCCTAAGCCCTAAACCCTAAACCCTAAGCCCTAAACCCTAAACCCTAAACCCTAAGCGAAGGCAATTCAGGGCCGGGTTCACAGCAAAGAGGGCCGCCCTCAGCAACGCCATCAGCGACAGGGCCTGTGATTCGTGCGTCAGGGAGTATTGGAACATAGGGAAGGGTGAGCCCTAAACCCTAAACCCTAAACCCTAAACCCTAAACCCCTAATCTTGGGAAACCCCCTTGTGGGCTGCGAAGGGCTTCTGGGTGTGGGATCCGGGTTGAGGGTATGGCGGCTATGGAGCGTAGAGATGTTTAGGGTTTAGGGTTTGCTTAGAGGTTCATGGCTAGTTAAAGTAGGGTTGTAAGTACCCGGCTATAAGTATAGTTACCATGCTTATGACCCTACTGATAACTACCCATGAAGCTCCAAGTAAGGAGCTTGGGCGGTTTAGGGTTTGATCGCGGGGCGGAGCGCCTCGTAAATAGCAACCGGGATGTGCAAACAAACCAACCAGAACGGTCTCTGCAACAAATGGGCTCTCAGTGACGGCCTCAACTGCAAACCCTAAAACCCTGAACCGCAACACTAGACCCCGAAGGCCAGGATACTTCTACAGCCTTAAACCTTGGGATGTTCCCCCTTACACTTACAGTCCTTAGTAGGGATTAAGTACCCCCATTAACTTCCCTATCAAGGACTGTTAGTATAAGGGGGAACATTCCAGCTACAACCCTAAGCCCGAAGACGCAGCTTTCGGGGCGTCTGAAGGGGCCTGATGATACCGCACGCAGGGGGAGCAACAAGCCCTGCCCTGGAAGCCCAACGGGGGTTCACAAAAAAACCATGTTGAGGAATGACAAACCCTGAACCCTGAAACCCAACTCTTCAAACCGTGAACTGACCTAAACGGCAAAACCCTGAACCCTAGAGCCCAGACCCAAACGCAGGAATGCCCTTAGCCTGGCGCCAGGCGCCGTCACTGCTTCATTGAACCTGGGCATGCCGATGTCTAGGGTTTAGGGTTTAGGGTTTAGGGTTTAGGGTTTAGGGTTTAGGGTTTAGGGTTTAGGGTTTAGGGTTTAGGCTTTAGGGTTTAGGGTTTAGGGGCTTAAGGGCTTAGGGGTTTAGGGCTCAGGGGGTTGCAGGGAATGGGGGAATGAGGTACCCTACATAATTCCTTAAAGGGCATCAGTCTGTAGGGGGATTGGGCTAAACCCTAAACCCTAAACCCTAAACCCTAAACCCTAAACCCTAAACCCTAGGCCCTAGGCCCTAAACCCTAAACCCTAAACCCTAAACCGCCAGGTACCCCTTGGGCTCCGGCCCCTCCCGTCCGCGGAGGCGCCCCGGCTCAGGGGGCGGCGGCTGCCAAATTCCAGCCCAAAGCGCCAGTTTTTGGGTTCAGGGTTCAGGGTTCAGGGTTTAGGGTTTAGGGTTGAGGGTTTAGGGTTTA